CTTTATATAAACGAACAAAAAACAATCTTTGTTGCCCCTTATCGAGAAACTTGGGTCCGGTTTAGTTATTTGTACAATGATTTTCGGTTGTTGTGTCCAATACCATAACCCGAATGCAAAAACCTTAACATATACGTGTAATCAAAGATTAAATTCTTATTTAAAATAAATGTTTAAAATATCCGACCATTAGTTTATTAATAAATTCGGTTTGCACTATGCACTTTTTTGCAAATGTCGATGTGGGTTCTGCCCAAAAATACTGTGGATGGCGTAGCCCGAGTGATATGCACAAGAAATGTTGTATATCCTTGACAAGCGGAAGCCCCTCTTCTCCGGCAACACAGAAAGGAGGATTTTACTTAAAACTTACCTTTACCGATGATATTATGGGCCAAAAACAGAGAGATAGCCGATTTAGCAGCACATGTGCCCGACTAAAGACCTGTCCTGATCCAAATCAATCGATACACCGCTTTCTAATCCCATTTGACAATGTGTTTTCACTTATTTGACGACAAATGCCACTGAATTTGACATAGTGAAAATCAGCTTTTAGTAAGGGTTAAGGCTCCGTTATGCATACTTGGCATTGCTTGAGAGTTGTCACATAAGGAATCTGTTAAATGAGCTTCGCTTGTAAGCGGTTACCCAACGCACAGCATTACATACGTAAAAGTCTGTTGGTTTTTGATTTCTACGTAAAAATGGTATAGCAGTGCATGCAATGCCAAGTATGCATAACAGAGCCTTTATAGTCGTTAAGCGCGGACGAAGGCAAAAGCAAGCGCAACAGGTGGTGGATATAACAAAGTGCATGTTTTTAATGGCTTGAAATAAGCTGTTATTGCATTAACTGGATTGGGAACCAGTTCTTCAGGCATAGGAGAAGTTCTGGCTTGTGGTTCAACAATTCAACCAGAAGTGATAGAGATGCGCCCATGGTTACTATGCCCGACATCTCCGCTTATCTTTGTGAAATCGTTACCATAGCGTGCTCTTACTCCACTGCTATAATTGCAAATGCTATAGAATCCATCGTTTCCTTCGAAATATGTAAAATCAAAAAATTTTACTATAAATAAGAACTTCATGAGTTTTTTTTGAAGCGAAAACTTCTTTAGCGGCGGGAGTGATTTGAAACTCGTTGAAACGAAAAAAGTGACAACAACAGCAAAAACAATAGGCTTTTGTATGTTATTTGCCATTAAGTGTGTAGTTATGTATGTATGTCTCATAGAATTTCAGCGAAGTCTCGAAGTCAAATTGCAGTGATTTTGTTTTTGTTTTCTTCGCTTTTATTGTCGCCTTGCCGGCGGCGCCACAATGCAGCCATACGTATGTATGTACATACATATGTACGTATAGATAGATAGATAGATTAAGTAGAGGTATGCACTGTGACCAGAGGATATATTGTGCCCTCGACTGTTTAGAGTACCTCATCTAATCCCAGAGAACCCAAAAATTTAAGGAGATCTCCGGGGGTTAGCGATTGTATGACTTTCTCACTTGGCCAGTGTTGGCCTAGGTGTCTCTCCCGTCTTCTAGCATCTGCCTCGCATTCGCATTCGCGAAGCAGTTGCAGGGGGGTCTCCTCAGTCACATCGCAGAACCGACATAGGTCGTTAGACCAGATCCCCAACTTGTGCAGGTGACCTTTCAGTCTGCAGTGACCCGTCAGAAAGCCTGCCAATATCCTTATCCTCTTTATGGGGAGGTTTATTATTGCTCTATACCCTGTAAGGTTGTAACCTCCCAGTAGGCTCTTAGCCTGGCGTAGGCCTACCATTTTACGCCAGTGCTGATTCCTTACTGTGTTCCTCTCCTTCCTGAGCTCTTCCTTGATTGTACTAGGACTAATCGCTATGAAGGGCTCAGGCCCTATAGGCGACGGGGCGGCTGCCGTCCTAGCTAGTCGGTCCGCTTCCTCATTGCCGACAACTCCTACGTGACCTGGCACCCAAATTAATTGGATGTCGATGTACTCCGCCAGGGCGTTGAGCTTGATGAGAGTGCCTTGAGTGCTGCCTTTCGCTTGAAAGATACTACGGGTACCGAAAGCTTTAGCATTGGACCGTGGACGCCTGCCCCAATACCGTCGGGAGTTTTGGAGCCATCTTTATACCATTGCATTGAGCTCGCTTGTATCTGCCTCTCCATAAGAGAGGTGCTCCAAGTCAACTTGGTGCAAAGCACTATTTTGAATTTCCTGTCAAAGTTAACTAAATTTGGCCTGTCGTCTCTGGGGAGCAGCGCTAATGGAATTTGGGAGCCTAGCTTGTCTCTGTTCCTTTATGGTAGGACTTTACCTCTACTAAAGCATTCTCTTGCGAAGTTTAATAGAGTTCGCTTTGCTGCCTGTTCTATGGTAAGGTGCAGCGGCTCGAGCATCACCTCCAGCGCCGCCGTCGGGCATGTTCGCATTGCCCCCGTGATGCATACACACGCCAGACGTTGAAGCCGTTGCAAGGGTGGTTCTCGAGACCCACGCTACTGCCCCATAAGTAACTATTGGTCTAACTATCATGGTATACATCCATCTCAGGATCTTGGGACTACAGCCCCAAGACTTCCCTGCCAGATGTTTGCATTCCATTAGTGCCCTCGTGGCTATGGAAGTGATCGCGTCTACATGCGCCTTCCACAGAAGTCTGGAATTTAGTATTAATCCTAGGTACTTGACTTTTGGGGCGACGTTGACTGCGACCCCATTCAAAGTGATGTTCGTCATACCTGGGAGTTTTCTTCTTCTTCTATAAAAGGGGACGATAACGGTTTTGGAGAGGTTGATGCTCAGGCCCATACTCAAGCACCAGCCTCTTGCTAGGTTTAGTCCCCTTAGAATGTCATCCGCACAGCCTTGATAGCGGATGCCATTGTCAGTGAAAGTCCGTAGAAGTTCATCCACAATTAAGCTCCACAAAAGAGGGGATAAAACTCCTCCCTGTGGGCAACTTCTTGCAGTTTGTAGCTGTATAACGCCATCCCCGATGCCGGTTTCAGCTATCCTCGTGTTCAGTAACCTGACTATCCACCTGCGGATGGTTGCCTGCACATGACGTTTTTCAAGCGCCCGGTCGACACTACCGTGAGAGGTGCTGTCAAACGCCCCCTCAATGTCGATGAAGGCACAGAATACTGTCTCCCCACACTCAAGAGCACCTTGCATTTCCGTGGACAGGGCGTATAGTGCAGGGTCCTTGCCACTCTGTAGGCATGTTGGTCAGGGTGTAAAGACGCCACATTAAGTGTGTTGTTCCTGATTTCATGGTCGATTACCTTCTCCTTGCTTTTAGCAAAAAGGAGGTTAGACTTATCGGCCTGAAGGATTTAGCGAGAGAGTAATCCCTCTTACCTATCTTCGGGATAAATATAATCCGAGCCCTCGTCCACATCCCCGAGGCTAGGAGTCCAAAGCCCAACAGACCGATCGGTGGGTGAATAGACTTCTAGCCAGCTTCCAGTCTGCTGGGGATGGCCTAGTCCGTTGGCATGGTACCTCCCCCGAGGTCGGAGTGGCATCCGGGCAGTGGGCCGAGAGCAGGGCAAGCGCCCTCTCTTTATTGTTTCCTGAGTAGGTATCATTAGCTAGCCGGATTGCTAGTCTTGTGTCAGTATGATCCCTCGCCAAGGCCTTATGCAGTCTAGCGGCTGCAGGAGTCGATGTGATAGAATTTACTGAAGCTGCCCCGTTTGGCCTTTCTGATCTCTTTACTGTAATTAGTTAAACTGACTGAATACACCGCCCAAAGCCCTGTACGCTTTGCCCTATTAAAAAGGTCTCGTACATGCTTTTTGAGCACCGATAGCTTTCGAGACCACCATTTGGGCTGTATCTTCCCTTTTGGTTTCGCCTCGGGGCAGCTGGAGTGAAATACATCCATAATCGCGTCATTCAAGTCGTTAACGGTGTTCTCTAACCTCATATGATCGTGCCTGTTCTTGGACTGTATTTCAGTCAAGTTTGACTTTAAATTTTCGCTGTACCGCTCCCAGTCAGTTTTCCTGGGGTTCCTAATTGCTCGGTTTGTTCTGACCTCTTACTCCTAGCACAAATTCAATAAGCCTGTGGTCCGATAGTGATGGTTCTGAGGAGACCCCCCACTGGGTGACCAGAGGACTAGCCAATCTGTTGCTAAGCGTGATGTCCAGTACCTCTTTCCTAGCCCTCGTGAAAAATGTCGGTGTTTGGCCAACATTGTGGATGCTAAGTTCCTCGCTCAAAATGTACTCTAAGAAACACTCACCTCTGCCGTTTGTGTCCGTGCTGCGCCATTCAACATTGTGCGCGTTCGCATCGCACCCCACTATAAGGTGGAGCCGTCTCCTCCTGCAGTACACCACTAACCTCTGTACCTCTTGTGGTGGGGAATAGCTGCTGTTTCCCGGAAAGTAGGCCACAGCGAAAACCACCTCGAAGTTCCTATCGCGAATGCACAGCGACGTCTGCACTGCGACTAGGTCCTGTGTTAAAAATTCTGTAATGCAAAAATAATCAATATTTTCCTTAAGCACTACACAGGCACTGGGCCTCTTACAAGAGAGGTCCTATGTTAGGTTAGGTTATCCTGGCCGCCCTCATCCATATAGGAAAAGGGCACACTTAGGCCTCCATGGGCCCATTGTGATGCCATATTTGAGACTCCTCCTCCTACCTCAGAAATGGAACCAATTTGTTGCTCTGATGAAGCGAATAAAATCGTAGATACTGGCCGAATCCAGCTCAGCTAGACACTCAAAAGAATAGCGGAGGAGCGAGCGTCAACGAGCCCTTGCCAAAGCGGGACAGTGCCATAGGTAATGCTCCACGCTTTCGATTTCCTCTTCATCGCGGCAGCTACGAAAGTAATCGTTTGGCTGCAGACCCATCCTGGCAGCGTGTGTCCGCATAAGGCAGTGCCCGGTGAGAATTCCAATAACATGGCGGAGCATTGGTCGCTCCAAACTGAAGAGAGGCCAAGATCGACGCTTATTTAACCTAGGCCTTATGTGTATCGCTATCCTGCTCGTGGGCTCTGCAGACATTTTGCATTTGCCCGTTCGATAAAGTTATTCTGCAGCCAGAGTTTACAAGAAGATAGCGGTGTACCCGCATTACGAGCGGTACTGATGGTAGACAGTTGGGTTCCTTTCCGGGCCAGCTCGTCCGCAGCACAGTTGCCAGGTATGTCTCTATGACCTGGCACCCATGCGAGTTGGTGCAGGGTACGTATTGTGATGTAAGGCGCACAGTTCACACCGAAGGTCACGGTTTTCAATTTGTAATCGTGTATGGGACTATTTGTTTCTGAACGAAATACAATTTGTTGATAATCTTGGTCGCCTTCGTGTAGAAGTATTTGACGATACATTTTCTCGACATCGCTATTGAAAACGAACTTATACGTGCGCCATTTGAGTATCAATAGCATCAGGTCGGGTTGGAGGGTGGGTCCTGTACAGAGGACATCATTGAGAGAGTAACCTGACCCTGACTTCTTAGATGCATTGAAGACGACTCTTAACTTTGCCGTTTTCTTTTCGGGTTTTACCACCGCATGGTGAAGGAGATAGAACGCCCAAAATTTTTCTCCTGAGGCGCTTTCATATGGAGTTGTTACTTCCATATGGCTAAGGGTTGCATATTCCTCTAACACGTTGTCGTAAAGAGGTTTAAGATCAGTTTTTTTAAGAAGACTTCTCTCCATGCTGAGAAATTGTTGGAGATCTGAGGTACGAGACTGGCCTAAAGCGATTTTTTCCAGAAAACTTGGTTTGAAAGGGAGCCGGACCACATAACGACCATCGGGAGCTCTTGTGGTTGTAGACTTGAACAAATTTTCACACATTTCATGTTCGGGATTGGCTATTTTGGGTTTTGGAACTTCTTCAAGTTCCCGGAATCTTCGGAGTTGGGAATCTAGGCGCTCATTCGAGATTTGTTCTACCTGAGTTGAGAAGCACGATACCTTTTCGGGGATTTGACCACTCAGTATCCAGCCAAATATCGTGTTTTGAGCTAACAAGTTCTTCGAGAGTTTTTCAATGCCTTCGAGAATTATTTGAGGGATAAAGTCACTGCCAATGACTAGGTCAATTTGAGATGGGGAGTGGCTGTTAGGATCGGCTAGCTTGAGATGAGCCCATTTTTGTTGTTGTTCCAGAGTTGGCTGGAATTTGGGTAGCATTTGGTTAGTTGCGGTAACACAATTGCCTGAGCTTTTATTTTTGTGGTCAAATCCGCTGACGCTAAGACTAGGGAGCATAATTTGTTCGAGGTTTGAACCACTTCCGCCCATTCCCGAGATTTCGAAATTAGCGGTTTGGCATGATAGTCTTAGCTTCTGTTGAGCTTTTGAGGAAATTAAGCTCCTTTCTAACCCCTGATCAATGAGGGCTCTTTGTTTGAAAATCTCGCCCCTGTGTTCTAATGGCACTATCGCCGTGGGGAGCAGGACTTTGCTTTCATTTTCAGAGTAAAATGATTGTACCCTTGTTGTTTGGGAGCTCGAAGGTTGCTCCTCTTCACTTGTTTGGTCTGGAGCGTGCGGGGTTTGTTTTGTGGACGTTGTCATTCCTACTTGTAAGGTAGTCCTTTGGACTCTATGCTGTTTTTTATTCGGCGTGGGGCCTTAGCTGTCATGTAGCACTGAATTATGCCGTTCTTTACAGTGAAAGCAAGTCTGAGTGCTTGGCCACTCTTTAATTGTGTGTCACTGGGAGATACAGTTAAAACACATATTATGATCTTTAATAAATTGTCTGCGATCCCCGATTGGTATTTTTTTGTATTTAAGGCCGCTCCAAAGCGAATGAGTCGAAGTTTTGCACATTGGACATTTGTGCATTGTTCGCTGTTCTGTCATATGAGAATGAATTTGTGACAGAGATTTATTATGGGTGTTTTGTGAATGGGCTGGTTTAAAATGGGGTATGTTATGAGAAGGAGGTGGCCTAGAGAAGTGGTTATTATTTTGAGAGGTGGGTTTTGATTTGGCTGGACGCCACTGATCAACCCATCCGACCACCTCGTACCTAGTAGTTAAGAATTGGTTCATTTGAGACCAGTTGGGAAGATCCTTCCTGGAACTAAGGGACTGTTCCTATAGGGATACTGTGTTTTCAGGAAGCTTTGAAGTAACGAGATATATTAAGATTGGGTCCCAGCTTTCAGTCGAAACTTGCTGGGTGGGGAGGATTTGGAGGCAGTCATTTACAGAGGACTGCAATCTCTGTACATCCTCACTGTTTTCTGTTATAATTGGCTTTAAATTCATGAGGATTCGTATTTAGTTGTCTACAAGTTTCCTTTTGTTCTCATATCGAGATTTAAGAGCTTCCCACGCCAAATTAAAATTATCGTCACTCAGGGCGAATTGCTTGACAATTTGGCCGGCTTTGCCTTGAGTCTTGTACCTGAGATGGTAAAATTTTTGAACCTGAGAGAGTTTTGGGCAAGCACAAATGCTTGAAACTAAACAGGATGACTTTTCGTTTTGAAAGTGTCCGAGAGAGGGATTCGAGTGAGGGTGAGAAAATGTTAATGATTGAACTGTGTAGCGACTCCACAGAGAATGATGCAATTCCAAGTGGGTCGCCTCAGAGAGTTTTTAAATGTATAAATTATAAGCAGTGCGTAATATAAATGACTGTAATCACGAAATGTAATCAATATATATATATATATATAAACCAGCTATTTCGGACGAGCGTTCGCGTGCGTTGCAGGTAGCATTAAAGTATTCGAAATGACCTAGTAGTAAGATTTTAAGTGGTTTGGCTTTAATAGCTTCAGAAAGACGTGTGCTTTTAATACCGAGAAAACCGAGAGATATCAAAATAATTTTAATTTTATTGTTAACAAGTGTCGAATCGTTCCACTGTACCCGCTTTGTTTGTATATGCTCACGTCAATACAATTTTTAATTTTTATTTATGGAAAACACTGTATCGCGATATACGTATCTATGTACTTAAGTATGTGTGTAGAAATGTACTATTTTATTTAGTGGGCGCACTATGGAATGTATGTATATACGACACTTTGCCGCACTAGGTAATATATATGTATAAATGTAGGTATATATATCGGGTTCGAGCAAGGCAAATATTTGTGGAATTTTACACCCGAGTAGGTGTTTATGCTTTTATTTTATTTTTTTCGAAACCGTTTTCTTTTGGGGCTAGAAACTATCGCTGTTTTTTTAGGCTTATGTAATATGTACATATGTATATAGTATACTAATGCATATATATGTGGGCATATGTATTTGTAGCTGTGACGAGAGAGGCTCCGCTTCATCAGATGGTAATAGTAAGGCGAGCCTACTGAGAGAAAGGAGAGGTCCTAAATTACCTTCTTCCTGTTATGGTTGAGGCCCCTCACCTGGCCTCTGTAAGTCCACGGCTCTTGGATCAGTAGGATGCCCAGGTCATCCGTGGCGAACCTGCTGGCGATGACCACCGAAGCAGCCACCGCGTGATGCAAGTTGACCTGGGCTACTTCCAAGTGTCGCGGATTCATAGATAGGGCTCGTCAAGGTCGGAGAGCTGTAGTTCGCTCTCGTTCCGCTTGTCAAGCTCTAGTCGCCTCAAGTCGATGCCTCATAGCATCTCCTGCGTGGAGGGCACGTATTCCGCTGAGGTAGTGGGGGCGGTAGGCACGGTCGTGTTTGCAAGAGCTGGTGTCTCTGGGAGGAGTGGCTGCTCAGCCGGTAAGCCCGAGGTCGACTCGGTCGTTTGGGCAGCAGAGGAACCGGCGTCAGCGTCGATTTGAGTCTCCTGCGCCTCCGACTCCTTGCTGCCTGTCGCCTTTTGTCGCCACGCCCTCACCTTGACGAAGTTGAACCTATAGTTCACGTTAAAGTCAGCTCTCTTGACGCCTAGGAATAGCCTGAGCTCGTTATCTTCAGTGGTGCTGGACACTACTTTCCACGCAGAAGTGGGGATACCCTCGTTCTGTGCTTTTAGTAGCCCCAGCGCAAACTCGGCACATTTGTCGGCGCTCCTTGGGAGGAACACCGTGATGTTATGCACTGGAGGGATATCGTCCCCTCTCTTCCTATACATCTCGGGTTCCTTCCAACCCTCAAGTGCTGGTGCCTTCTCCACCAGCCAGAATGCCAGGGGGTGCGACCATCCTTTGAAGACCTCGTCCATGTTGGCATCTTGGAGCTTGGTTAGGTCCTCTGAGCTCAAGGCAGCAGCAGGGTACTCACACGGCAGCTCCGCTACCCGGATGCCTTTGAGGGTATCCGAGTAGCTGGAATGCTGGGTGGCACCCCCCTACGCCTGTCCTTGCCCGGTCGGCCCAGCCAGGCTCCTAGGCCATGAATTCGGAGGAGGTGGCTGATCCCGCTGCAGTTTGGTGCTTGGTGGCTCAGGCGGAGTAATTTGATTGCTCCCTCTCTTGACTGCGTCCCCTTTGTTGTAGCCTGGGGGTTCCCCGCTTCTCCGCCATTCGCCAGGTGCGGATCTGTGCTGCTGTTGTCGCTGTGGCCCGCTTCTCTGCTTTGCAGCAGGTAAGTGTGCCTGTTTATTGGGCCCACTCTTCCACGTATCCGGTGACAGAATGCCTGAGCGATGCCGGCTTTTGAAGCGGTGACTACCCTCGGTACGGAGGCTGCTCTCTGATATTGCTCTTTCTGTGTGCCTGAAAAGGGAAATGCCGGGCCGGTGTTCCGGCCGGTCTAGTTCGGCAGATGAATCATATAAATCTAACACATCTTGATTTGCGCAAGTACCTTTTTTCCCTGTGTCCTGCTACAGGAGGCCTCTTCACTGGTGCCTGGATGTTCGTCATCCCTCGCATTCTCAATGAACAGCGATGCTTCCTCTGCTGTTAGCTGGTCCAAGAAGCTGCTCTTGCGCCTGACGCTCTTAGAGCCTTCTAGCGTGTTGCTGCTTGGCGTTTCTGGTGTGCGTGTAATAGCTCTTGCTGTTGTTACAGCTGGTGCTATTGTGCCCGCCGCCGCTGGTGGCGCGGGTGTTGTAGTAGACGTGGTTGTTGCTATAGTTGCTGTTGTTGTTTTGCTGTTTTTTTTGTTTGTTGTAATCATCTTTTTCGTACGACCGCCTGCTCGACGAGGCGAGCTCAGCAGTCTGAGGTTTAGTAGGGGATCTCCAAAGTCCGCCGCGCCAGTGCCCCTTGTCGCGGTAGGGCCACCGTTACTCTACGATGCGACCCGGTGTCGGAAGCGCGCCGTTATAATACAGCCGGTTTATACCCTCCTGACTGCAAACAGTCCAATAGGCACGGTGTCGCTTAAAACCTTGGATTAGGAGGTGGCAGTTCTGGGTCACTGTTCTCCAGCGGCCTAAATCTGAAGGGAAGGCAGCGCGGAGGCTTTCACATCCGCGTTACCTCAGACCAGAAGAGGACGACTGGTTAGTGATTCAGCTAAGCACCTGAACCAACGACAAGGTGCCTGCCCTCGCGATGGATATGTACGTATGTTAAGCTAGCCAATGCGCGTCTGTGTGGTTATGTGCGGACGTGGAGTCTACGTGCGTAAATATGTCAGTGCATAGAATTCAAGCGACGGGTTGCAGTCAAATCGATGTGATTTTGTTTTTGTTTTCGTCGCTTTGCCGGCCGCTCATATGTGTGTATGTTTGTACGTGTGTTAAGCTACAAAGCAAAAACACGACTAGGTGCTCCATGCACTCATGCAAAGAGTATCCCTAAGGTACAAGGAGTACCCAAAATTAACCAATATGCATATCTTCACTTGAAATGCAAAAATACGTAACATCTCCGTAAATGAAATGGAAAAAGTATATATTATATATTATTATATTTTATTTATTTTTCATAGAATGATGTGGAGAGTTGTAAATCGATGGAAACCATCATATAAATCCAAAAGTGAATTTTGAATTTTTTACTAGTTATGACTTTCTGTATTTCAACGATGATATTTGTTACGTCCATTTGCATTTCAGGTGACGATATAAAAATGCGGTCCAATTAACATTGCGATGTCCTATGGCAGGACCATATACTCCAGCTCTGCATTAGAGACACGAGTTGGGCCGCTACTGCATCACAGAGGAACATTTTGTAAGTGTGTGCTGCAATATATCACAAATGGAGCACATTGTCCAACGATTTTTGCAGAATGGCCAATAAGCTGATAAAAGTTCGCATGTTGTGTGCTCATTTATGGCTGGAGTTCTCTGATTCTCCCAAAACTGGCGAAGAAATCATAAGAAAAGCAGCGGCATCAATACGACACAACAATATTTCTCCACAGGTGGTACCAATAGATCGCAGGACATCCTCGATAGCCTGATAAAACCGTAATGGTAAAGCGTGACCATTTTCCTCTGGTATCTGCTTGTGCGATAACGAGGTCATTTGGTGAGATCGTATACGCTCAACAGCTACATCTCCTTTCAAAAATTAAAATAAATAAATAAAAGTAAATAAAAGTATAGAAAAATTTTTCGGAGAGCAACAGTATCCATCCGTAACTGAGTTGCAAGCTGAATTTCAAAGGCTGCATCTGAATCGACTTGAAACAATTGAGAAAATATTGTATGATGTTCACCCCTATTCTGCAACACTTTCGTATTCGGATTTTGCTACGATTCGTAGGAATGGTATGCTGCAATCCGAATCGTATCCTGAACTTTCGAAATTCGTAACAATGGCATGCCTAACAACGAAGGAGTAAGCTTTTTTGCGTAATTTTGTACGAAAACAATTCTTTGTCGGAGGCGAGATAAAAGATGTAAATCGATGTGTGTTTGCAGGAAATATTAGTGGTGTTTATTTAAACAGATAAATTTGCCTTTCGCATATACGTATATTTTTTATCCCCTGCTTTATATAAACGAGCAAAAAATAATCTTTGCTTCCCCTTATCGAGAAACTTGGGTCCGGTTTAATTATTTATACAATGATTTTCGGTTGTTGTGTCCTGTGTTACTGTTCTCGCATAACCCGAATTCAAAAACCATAACATACACGTGTAATCAAAGGATTAAACCTTTATTTAAAATATATGTTTCAAATTATTAATAAATTCGGTTTGCACTACGCACTTTTTTCAAATTTCGATGTGGGTTCTGCGCAAAAATACTGTGATATGCACAAGAAATATTGTATACCTTTGACATGCGGTAACCTTTCTCCGGCAACACAGAAAAGAGAATTATACTTAGTAAGATTTATGATCCCTAAGCGCGACCGAAGGCAGAAGCAAGCGCAACGGGTGGTGGACCTAACAAAATGCATGTTTTCAATGGCTTGGAAGAAGCTGTTATTGTATTAACTGGATTGGGAACCAGTTCTGCAGGCATAGGAAGAGTTCTGGCTTGTGGTTCAACAATTCAACCAGAAGCTGACATAGATGCGCCCATGGTTACTATGCCCGGCAGCTCCGCATACCTTTGTGAGTCCATTGCCATAGCGCGCTCTTACTCTGCTGCTATAACTGCAAAAGCATCAGAATCCATAATTTTCCTCAAAATATTTAAAATCAGTCAATTTTAATAAACACAAGCAGATGGCGAGTGTTTTTTAATTCCTTTCCACTTTGTTTTCCTTCATACAGCTGAGTTCGAAAAACAACTGATACCTGGCAATGCTGCACATTTTTCCGCAAAGGTTGCGGCATGACGATTTTTCGTTTTTGGTAACGTAGCTACGAATTACGAATTACGAAAATTCGTGTTCTAGAATAAGGGTGGTTATAATACAAGCAAAGGGTTGACACTGTTTATCTTCAATTGCTAAAGCTTACGCGTTCACGTACAGGAGCTTTTAGAGACGTGGGTGGATAATGAGAGAGCTTTAGACATTCCTAATATTGATAAAGTAATTCAATTTAAAAGTCCAATGACGAGAGCAGGCGGAGCTGTAATAAACCATAACACACATGAGGAGCTCGTATAGTTCTCCACAAGTTGAGCTCAATGCACAAAAACTTGAATCAATCACCCCTATTCTGCAACTCTTTCGTATTCGGATTTTGCTACGAATCGTAGAAATAGTATGCTACAATCCGAACCTTATTTTCGAACTTTCGAAATTCGTAACAATGGCATGCCTAAAACCAATCGAGTAAGTTTTTTTGCGTAATTTTGTACGACAACAATTCTATGTCGGAGACGAGGTAAAAGATGTAAATCGATGTCTGTTTGCAGGAAATATTAATGGTGTTCATTTAAACAGATCAATTTGCCTTTCGCATATACGTATATTTTTATCCACTGCTTTATACCTATAAAGAAGCAAAAAAGAATGTTATCGAGAAACTTGGGTCCGTTTTAGTTATTTGTACAATGATGTTCGGCTGTTGTGTGCAAACGCATAACCCGGATCCAAAAGCTTTAACATACACGTGTAATCAAAGGATTAAGCTTTTATTTAAAATAAATGTTTCAAATCTCCGACCTCCAACTTATTAATAAAGTTCGTTTGCACTATGCACTTTTTTTGTAAATTTTGATGTGGGTTCTGCGCAAAAATACAGTGGATGGCGTAGACGGTGTGATATGCACAAGAAATGTTGCATACAGCTCCGCATATCTTTGTGCATTCACTCCCATAGCGCGCTGTTACTCTGCTACTATAATTGCAAATGCAATAGAATCCATGTTTCATTCAAAATATGTAAAATCAAACAATTTGGGTTGGGGAGGCGGTGGAAGGGGCGTGAGCCCCTCAACACCCTCTATACGAAAGGGGATGAGCCGCGCATCATGAAAAGCCACCTCTTCGCCCCCTCGGTCGCATTTAGGGGATACAATTATAGTACAATTTCAAAATTTTCTTTTTAAAATAGAATTACAATTTATTTAAATAAATATGTCTTAACAATTTGAATGTTGAATCAATAATAATTTTTCAGCAATGAAATTTCTCTGAATGTAAAATCATCAACAGAAACAAAAACTATTTCTTATCAAAGACTTAAAGTGTGTGTACATATATATTTGCATCAACTTATGACACTACAAATACTCCCCCTACAAATCAAGCAGAAAGTGATATTGTATAAATGTTGCTAATTTCAAAGATTGTATTTTTAATGTAAAGAAAATGTGACTCGTTTCTTTGGTGTACTATGTATATTAATATTTGGTTTGTGTTTCGTGTATGCAGGTTTAATTCGATCGATTGATATATTCTTGGATTCTCCATTTATAAGTATTTTAAAAAAACTTCAAATTCTTCACAATAACTTCAAAAGGTCCCTCATAAGGGCAGCTTAAACCAGGTTTTTTATTCATAATTTTAACAAAAACCTGTTTACATGTTCTTAAACTGCTTGGCATAAAACATTTTTCCGAAGTAACATGATGTGATAAATTTGAACGAGAGTTTTTAAAATAACTTTTTAATTTAGTTAAGAAGTCTGTGTTATTGAAATCCTTCTGAGTATCAGTAACAAGTTCACCTGGTAATCGTAAATTTTTACCGTAAACCATTTCCGAAGGAGTTGCCCCTAAATCTTCTTTAAAACAAGAACGCAAACCTAATAAAATTATAGGTAGTTCTTCTGACCTTGATGTACCACGAGCAACAATTGAAGCTTTCAATTGCCGATGGAACCGTTCTGTCATTCCATTTGCCTGAGGATGATATGCGGAAGTTGTAATTAGCTCACTTCCAATATACTTCGCCAGCTCACGGAAGATGTTTGAAGTAAACTGAACTCCTTGATCACTTGTTATATGAGTCCGTACCCCAAAACGTGGAATATATTGCTGAATAAATTTTTGAACAATAGATTTTGCTGTAGCATCTCTTAAAGGATAAGCTTCAGGCCAACGCGTATTTCTATCAATGATTGTTAAGATATATCTAAATCCATTTGACATTGGTAACGGACCTACAATATCTGTATGTATATGTTCAAATCTGCCCTTAGGAATTTCTATTTTTGAAACTGGAGACTTAAATGTCTAAAAACTTTCGACTTTTGACAATCAATACATGTTTTTGCCCATTCATTTACCTCTTTCCTCATAAAAGGCCAGAAATATTTAGAAGTTAACAACCCCCGCGAAGCCCTGATACCTGGATGACTTATACTATGCAATTTAT